GTATATATATATATATATATATATATATACATATATATACAAATATATATATATATATACATATATGTATTGTTTTTCTACACATATTTTCAACCAGTTTCCAATGAAAAAACTAAAAACGCGACAGCTGCACGCGTGTGTATATGCAATACCGACTCGGATACATTACAAACAAGAGCAACGACGGCAACGGTCAACAACAATAAAAAAAATAAAAAATAAAAATTCTAACCGTGTCGTACGTTCCTTCGCGTCGACGAGTGCTGCCGCCTGGCGACCGTCTCGTCTTCACGCGCGCTGCGACTTCTTCGCCATGTTTTTTATCAGCGAACTCGGAGATCTCTTGGCGTCGGCCGCCCTGTCCGCGGCGACGGCGAGCCGTTGACCGGGGCGCCCCCCGGTGGTGGGCTGCTGCTGCGCGTGCGACTTACCCGCAGACAGAGGGCGCTGCATATGCTTGCCGTCGGCGGACTTCGCCTGATTTCGCTTCAGCTTGTCTGGGAGAAAAATAAGCGAGTTGGGGTCATGACCTTTGACTTTTGACCCAAAGTGAAAGAGGCAAAAAACTCATGACTCAACTGTGTAATGACGAGCAACGGGCGCAGCTCTTGATCGACGTCCATAGTGTGGTATAGGGGTGGGTCTTAGACAAGGCTTTCACGGATAAGTGATCAAAAAATCACGTTTGATGCTATTTATGATTATTAGCTCAGCTTTATTTTAAATTTTGCTCCAAAATCTATGGCCCTGTGCAATTAAGATGATATGATAGTGGCGGATGCACATACTCATCAATCCTGGACAGATGGTTTCTACCTCATTCAGCATTGGCGTATACTCAGGGATGCTGCCTGTTTCTGAAAAAAAAATACCAAACACTGTTAAAACAAGCAAGGTTTTCTCTTTAAAAATCTCATCAACAGATGGCGTGGATGACGAGTGTTTCCTCGGTATCCATGGAGACCAATTTCAACAAATATGACTTGCATGCATGCATGTACATTGTAGGATATATATCAACTCCCTACATTCAAACCCAGTTGCCATCTAAAAAAAACTATGCATTACAGCATGAACATATATATGTGTATCCGTATATATATATATATGATACATGTGTTCATGATTATGTATTTTCTGTCCAAACCTCAGGGGCGTGTACAGGATTTGTACCGGGGGGGGGGTCTAACCGTAACCCAAACTTGTGAGCACGCGGAGGGGGGGTGTGGGCAGCCCTCCCCCAGAAATTTTTTGAAATTAGACCCCCTTAGATGCGTTTTCTGCACGAGCAGGGGGGGAGGGTCCGGACCCCCTGGACCCACCCCCCCCACCTGTACACGCCCCTGAACCTTGGTTGTCTCACGCACTTGTGATTAGCATGGGTATGTAGGTAGCTTTGGGCGTAAGCAGAGTCAGCGCTTGCTCTAGGGGTTGAAACTCAAGAAGACCAGCTATCGAGCCAGCCTCGTCACAGAGGTCTACGCTGTCTGCAAACCAACATATGCTTGTAAACAACGAGCAATATCATCAAACAAACAAATCCACCAAGAATTTAGAGAGAGAGATCATAATAGATATCATATAACGTATGCTATCGATGCTCCTATCTTTAGTCTAGCGTCGTTGCTCTCGAATACGAAATAGAAAGGAACGACGACAACGATGACGATGGCATTTGTTTGCTACCCTACTCCTAGCATTAGTCTAACCTTACTGCGCTTCAACACGAAACAGAAAGAAACGACGACAACGATGACTTTTTTGGGGGCTACAGTACTCTCATCATTTGTCTAGCGTCACGGCGTTTGAACACGAAATAGAAAAAGCAATCAAGCTAGTGCACGCACCCCCCCCCCACCCCCCGCCATCTAACACGCACCGGCGACACACGCGTGACAACGCGACATTGTTTTTTTTTCTCGCGAAAGAGGAAACTGTCCGCACGTGCGTCTCGTTGTTTTTCGAACGTTTCATCGTTCATCGGTCGCGCCGACGTCCGGCTGACGCACGCGCTCTAGAACACGAGCGGAAGTGATCGAAATCTCGCTTTCGACGTGACGTCATCACTCGTGCAGCGCGAGCGCCGGAAGCGCTGTTGCGCGAGCGCGCGCAGGAAGGCGGCGATGAGCGGGTTTACGAGGCTACTTTGGCGGTTCGAGATTAGTGTTGAACAAGAGAAACGACGACAAAGAAAGAGAGAAAGAAATAGAAACGGAATTAGTCTGCTCTGTTAGCGCTCGCACTTAAGCACGTACGTGTCATGAACATGTATAAAAGTGCAGACGCACGCACGCATGAGCATGTAAAGACGAGCACGCGCGCACACGCACAGGCACACGCCTGCACGCACGCACGCGCGCATAAGCATTGTATGCTCGTAAGTGCAGACGCACGTACGCACACGCCTGGCTGCACGCATGCTCACACGCACGCATGAACATGTATACTCGTAATCGCAGACGCACGTACGCACACGCACGCACGCACGGTCTTAATCACGTACGCATGCACGCATGAGCATGAATACATGTGCACGTACGCATAGGCACACGCACCCATACAAAAAAAGAGAGACAAAGCGAAAGAAAGCGAGAGAGACAGAGACGCGCGCACACGCACGCACACACACACACACACACACACACACACACACACACACACACACACACACACGCACGCAGAGACACTGTCGAGTGATCGCTGGTACAGATGGTTATACACACAGAGACA